AGACAGTGTCAGTCACCTGAACCAACCAACTTACTCTAGACAGTGTCAGTCACCTGAACCAACCAACTTACTCTAGACAGTGTCAGTCACCTGAACTGAACCAACCAACTTACTCTAGACAGTGTCAGTCACCTGAACCACCAACTTACTCTAGACAGTGTCAGTCCACCAGAACCAACCAACTTACTCTAGACAGTGTCAGTCACCTGAACCAACCAACTTACTCTAGACAGTGTCAGTCACCTGAACCAACCAACTTACTCTAGACAGTGTCAGTCCACCAGAACCAACCAACTTACTCTAGACAGTGTCAGTCCACCTGAACCAACCAACTTACTCTAGACAGTGTCAGTCCACCAGACTTACTCTAGACAGTGTCAACCAACCAACTTACTCTAGACAGTGTCCGCCCACCAGAACCAAACAACTTACTCTAGACAGTGTCAGTCACCAGAACCAACCAACTTACTCAACTTACTCTAGACAGTGTCAGTCACCCGAAGCAACCAACTTACTCTAGACAGTGTCAGTCCACCAGAACCAACCAACTTACTCTAGACAGTGTCCGTCCACCAGAACCAACCAACTTACTCTAGACAGTGTCAGTCCACCTGAACCAACCACTTACTCTAGACAGTGTCAGTCACCTGAACCAACCAACTTACTCTAGACAGTGTCAGTCACCTGAACCAACCAACTTACTCTAGACAGTGTCAGTCCACCTGAACCAACCAACTTACTCTAGACAGTGTCAGTCCACCAGAACCAACCAACTTACTCTAGACAGTGTCAGTCCACCAGAACCAACCAACTTACTCTAGACAGTGTCAGTCCACCAGAACCAACCAACTTACTCTAGACAGTGTCAGTCACCAGAACCAACCAACTTACTCTAGACAGTGTCAGTCCACCAGAACCAACCAACTTACTCTAGACAGTGTCAGTCCACCAGACTTACTCTAGACAGTGTCAGTCACCTGAACCAACCAACTTACTCTAGACAGTATCGGGGTGGTGGGGTAGCTTAGTGGTTAAAGCGTTTGCTCGTCACGCCAAAGACTCGGTGTTCGATTCACCACATGGGTACAATGTGTGAATCCCATTTCTGGTGTCCCCGCTGTGATATTGTTGGAATATTGCTAAAATTGGCGTAAAACTCAACTCACTCGCTAGACAGTGTCAGTCCACCAGAACCAACCAACTTACTCTAGACAGTGTCAGTCCACCAGAACCAAACAACTTACTCAAGACAGTGTTCGTCCACCAGAACCAACCAACTTACTCTAGACAGTGTCAGTCACCAGAACCAACCAACTTACTCTAGACAGTGTCAGTCCACCTGAACCAACCAACTTACTCCAGACAGCGTTAGTCGAACCCGGTGTGTCCAACTTATTCCAGACAGCGTCAGTCGAACCCGGTGTGTCCAATGTATTATCAGTCCACCCAGATGCTTCATTGATACTTCAGACACTGTCCGTCCATCAAGGTACTTCATTGATACTTCAGACACTGTCCGTCCATCAAGGTGCTTCATTGATACTTCAGACACTGTCTGTCGAACCCAGGTGCTTCATTGATACTTCAGACACTGTCCGTCCACCCAGGTGCTTCATTGATACTTCAGACACTGTCCGTCCACCCAGGTGCTTCATTGATACTTCAGACACTGTCCGTCCACCCAGGTGTATCCTAGTTAAACCTGACAGTGTCTGTTCATCCATGTGTTTCATGCTTATACTAAACAGGTATAGTTAATCCAGTTGAATCTAATCTATGATCAATATCGTCTGTCCATCTTCTACTTGCACTAGACAGTGCCAGTTCATCCTCGAGTACCCCACTGACACTGTACATCTGAACTGACTTCTTGTCTGACAGTCTAGAAGTCCACCCAGATGTACACTAGACTGATCTAGCTGATCTAGGTGTACCCTATTTACTCCATCCATGTATATCCTAATTCTATTATCATTTCAAATTCTACTAACACTGAATACTTTCTCCAGACAGTGTCCGTTCATCCCGATGTATGTTACTTACACTGCATATTGACGTCCACCCAATTTACGCTATTTTATCTAGACAGTGTCATTTAACTCGATGTATTCCGCTGCTTACACTGGATACTTTCTCCAGACAGTGTCCGTTCATCCCGATGTATGCTGTTTACACTGAATATTGCCGGCCGCCAAGGTGTACCACTGTACCCTTTTTTATCTAGACAGTGTCATTTTAACTTGATGTATTCTACTGACACTGGATACTTTCTCTAGACAGTGTCCGTTCATCCCGATGTATAATGGTTACACTGCATATTGAAGTCCACCCAATTTACCCTATTTTATCTAGACAGTGTCATTTAACTCGATGTATTCCGCTGCTTACACTGGATACTGCAGTCCGCCCAGGTGTACCCTGTATATTCCAGACAGTGTCAGGTCATCTCATGTATCCAACTTATTTCACGCAGTCGCAGTCTTCAGGGCGCAGAATGATTACCTATACACACAAACCTTCTGATACATGTATGAAGTATCTTAGAAACACGATGGTTGTCAACAAGTCGTAAGTTGTAAGTACTTCAAACCCTTTCACTAACTGTTAACCTTAAGACAATTTCGATTAAGAAATCAAGGCATTATTCGTGCAATGTAAATAATTTTACACCAAGAACGTCATTATCACCACACTACAGTAATTAACGAATTACACATCTCTTGTATTATAATGTCATAATATAGAAATTTTGGTGACGTGTGTGACCACGTGTCACGCGTCACGGTAGAGACTGCACGTCACGTGCTAATAAACACTACCGGAAGTGAAAGACTTATACTTGTAACACATATATGAATCACTTCGAAAACTCCCAATGTATAATGAAAAGACGATTAAGACACGACATAGTGACATTGCATAAAAAGAATGAAAAGTGATGAAAACTGGCACTGTAAGTGAAGATTTAAACAGATCGAGATGATATGGAACACAACGCAAATCCAGAACATTTCCTATGTCTGCATCTATACTGTGGTTGAAAATCTTGCCAAAAGTAAATATGTGAGCACAACTAAATATTTCGCCAGTCATGCATCACATACACATGTATATATTAAGTTACTGGAACGACTTGTATTCGTCATGTGACTTCAGGCAATAATTCAAGAGTTTAAAAAAGTAATGTTAAATATTCTACATATTTTCTCACTGGTATTAGCTGCTGTTACTGAAAACAACGTTGATGAGTAATACATACATTCTCAGAAACACAAGAAATTTTCAAAGTCTTTGAAAATATTTTCCGTCCCCGTTGTATGATATATAATAAACAATAAATGGTGTCTGTAACCCGGAACATATTTACATCACACTGCCCACCTCTAAACTGTGGCCGTGAAACATATTAATCGTAAGGGAAACTGTCTTTAACACAAATATTGATATAGTGGTTAAAAACCACTCATGATATTATTCATGAAGTCAGTTAAAAACTGAAACCAAGTGATGTGATGCTTTATATTTGATCTTGAAAAAATGCTGGTCAGATTGCACAGTTTGTGATTACAAGTAAAAATATAACGTTGTCAAAAGAAGGTAAAACTAGTTTATTTTAAGAATTAATTTGTCCATGTCGGCGTATTTATGACCACATGCCATCTTTACCTTCCGGGTATCCCCTTCAATTAACCAGGAAGACCCATTCAATCAGTGACGTCACTTGTCTAAGAAGCGTCAATGCGTCCATAATACCCGCCTCCAGTCCTACTGATGTATATATTATTATCTCCCCTTCGTATACTATCCTTATAATGACTGTTGACACATTTACAGTAATCAATCACCGTGAAATAGGTGTGTAATTGATTATAGATGTAGATTTCATTTATGACGCATACGACAGGAGGGGTATAAGACAGGGCGACTCTCTCTCCTTATCCGTCAATACAAATCTACAACACTACACACGGATTTGTGGATGTTCGCTGAATAAGGTAAGGCTATTTCTCATTAATTTGTTTTTTACACTTTCAATTTATTGTTTTATTTATCAATGTACAATAAATACAGATATTTACGTTCAGTCTGCTGATCTGATATATTTTACTTGGCCAAATCTGGTAATAGGATATTTTTGGCGATCTAATATAATTTGGGGCTGTCTGATATGGTACGTTGAACTATTGGTTCTCAGTAACATACTCAACATTACAATATGCAGTCTGCTTTGTAAACTGGTGAGCAAAGGATTTTTCATTTTCAGTTGAGGCTATCTAAGTTAACAATATTATATCCCAAAACGAATGTCAGGAGTATTTCCATATGGTTCTATTTATCAAAATATAATTTGAATTAGAACTTTTAAAATCGCACAATATGCACCTGCTGATGTATGACTTTGGGATCTTATCTTTAAACATCAAGCAGTTTGCTTTTACAACACAATTGAAAACATTTCACACATGCGTGGGCAATGTGGGTGCAAATTAATTCCTTACCACAGTCTTAATTAACCTCAATGTAGTTTTGCAAAATATTACCCAGCCACATATTACTTTTCACAAACTGTTGTAGAAATGTTTTAACAATTGTTCTTTCAATTTTCAATTTCTTAACAAAGACAAACGCGATATACTTTGTTTTCCCTGTAGTTAAAATGTATCAGGTATTTTTACGTATGGGTATGTACTCTGATCATATTACACAGAATGTGATCTGTGAACACTTCATCGCTGCCGTCATACTCTAATACAGATATAACATATATACGATTACTGTTGTGTCAGGATCGCTTTGTTGTACAGCTGCCTGTTCGGGGACCAAAAGAATAAATAAAAAGGAAAACGATTAAAAATTATAACTGAATGAACCGATCTGTGAGTAACGCTTATCAGAAATATACTTTGGTAAATAATGATGATGGTGATTATGATGTTTATGATGATGCCATGTTATTGATTATTTATGCATTTAACGCTTGTTCTTCTATGTTTTTCAGAATGGTACCCTTCCATCAGCTGATCTTGCTTGTGGTACTGTGTTCAGATAGCCATGCCCAGCTTATTCCCCGTATGCGTCTTGGCATGCCTGGCGGTGTGCGCGGCCCAGGTGCACTGGGAATGGGGAGAGGGATGCCGGGAATGGACCCCAGGATGGGTAGAATGTCGATGGGGATGGACCCCAGATTTCCTGGATCCAATAATCCTGGGATTCAGGGGAGGCCATCTGGATCTGATCTGGGGTTCGGTTCAGCACAACCTGGGTTTAATCAGGGATTCAATGGCCGGCGGCCTGGGATTTCTTCGGGCATACCGGGACAGATGGCCATCGATCCAAGGATGGGTCCAGGAAGGATGGGCATGGACCCCAGAATGGCTTCAGGACGGATGGGCGTGGATCCCAGAATGGCTTCAGGGCGGATGGTCATGGGCCCCGGAATGGCTCCTGGGCAGATGGGCATGGGCCCCGGAATGGGTTCATCACAAATGGGCGTGGACCCCAGGATGGCTTCTGGGCAGATGGGCATGGGCCCCGGAATGGCTCCATCGCAGATGGGCATGGGGCCCGGAATGGGTTCATCACAGATGGGAGTGGACCCCAGAATGGCGTCAGGGCAGATGGTCATGGGCCCCGGAGTGGGTTCAGGACGTATGGGCATGGACCCCAGAATAGGCATGGGTCAAATGGATCCAAGGCGACAATTGCAGATGGGTGTGGATCCAAGAATGGCTCAAGGACAAGCTTCTGTGGATCCAAGAGGAATTGGCATGAGAGGTCAGATCGATAGATTTGGCTTCCAGCCCACCTCAGACAATGGAGGCATACAACAACAGACCTTCAACCTCAACAATCAACAACAGCGACAGCAATTCATCAACTCGGCCAATGGAAACTCTCAATCTAGGAGCAACAGTGGTTCAAGTTCGTTCAACAACCAGAACCAGATCGGAGTACAACAACCTCTCAACAATCCCGCAGGTCAGCAAGATCCGCGATTTGTAGGACCTCAGTCCTCTGCAGGTCTTCATCCAGCTCTTCAACGTGGTCTTCATCCAGCTCTTCAGCGTGGTCTTCATCCTGCTCTTCAACGCGGACTTCATCCTGCTCTGCAACGGAGAATCCACCCAGCGCTTCTTCAGGGGGCACACCCAGCGTTGCAACAGGCCCTTAGCTCCGGAATACATCCTGCACTTCAGGGAGCTGGACCTTTGGGCCTTGGATCTGGTCCAACACAAGGTCTTACAAGACAAGGAACTGCCTCTAATACTATAAGTTCATCAAACCAGGGGACGGGGATTGCACCGGGACAACACACGAATACTGCAAGTATTCACAACGTACAAGGCAGCAGCTTGAGCTCCCTACAACAGCAGGAACGACTCATCAACGGCATTCCCTCCAATACCCTCCCAGGCCGCCCGGGAATATCGCCTGGAGGAACAATCGGACATGTTGACCCCTTGGAGGCTCAACTTCGGAATATACATCCGGGTCATCCAGCTCTACATCCGGGTAACCGTCATCCCATGGCAGTTCCACCACACCTGCGCGGCCCACGTCCACAGATTCCAATTATCTAAAAGACATTGAATAGTGCTAGCAGTGAGGCAGCGGTGATCAGAAGAGCACGCACAGAAAACCAGAATGTTACTGTCACTTTGTTCTTACATAAGGCGGTAGCACCCTCGTCGTTAAAGTTTTGTCTTATCGCGCCGATAATCAGGAGTAACTCCCTCAGAGGGTCACCCTGAGGAGCCTTTTATTGCTGTGGTATGGCTACAATATTGCTGAAACCGGCGAAAATGTATACTCATTAGCCTTAAAGGCTGTGGCATACCTGCCACGGGACTTAAACGTGTCAATATAATTTACAAATGAAAAAATCAAAGATTTATTGATTACCATCGATTTACCATGCGTCATGATGCTGAAAAGGAAACTCTTTTGAAAGATCATACCTTAAAGGTTTTATTAACGAATGTAATTTATTTTATTTCATGTTACACATGAACTGTTGTTAATACATCTGACACTATATGAAGCTGTGTGGACATGCTTTACACCGACTGAATTCCAAAATTTAAATATATTTCACGTTATTCACTGTATACCATTGAATAAAACAAAATTATATAAATTATTATTTTCATTATGTACATAAGTTTGAACTTGTTGGTATATTAAATATATATAAAAAAAATTTTTGTGTGTTATCATATTTAAGTTTACCTCATGAAATTAACAGTGTGTTTTGTTCATCATGACTGAGTGACTTTAGTTTTACGCCACACTCAGCAAAAATCCAGTGATGAACAGCATGAGCATCGTTCTACGCAATTGGGAACCGATGACATGAGTCAACCAAGTCAGGGAGCCTGACCACCCGATCCCCTTAGTCGGTCTTACGACAAGGATGGGTTACTGAAAATCAGTTCTAACCCGGATCTTCACGGGTCTGTTCATCATGAATGGCCTGATCGCTTTTATGACTTAATGAACAAAGGCTTTGATTTGGAGTAATAAAGTGACATTCAAATTTCAATTCTTGTAATTTTGAAATTAATTTTTAACAACAATATTATAAACTGAATTAGATTTTAATCTCAGACATGAAACAACCACGCGGGTATAGATTATCCAGAGCGAATCCCTTGTCGATGATTTGACGTGAACAGCAACACATAGCAGTGATTATGTGCATCAATTCAGCTTGTTTTTGACGACCCATTGTCTGTTAAAACCAATAACAATCTCACACAAAATGAATCAGTGTTTGATTGTCAGTTTTAACGAGAAACTAATGCATACCTGCCATAATTCTCCAACTGTAGGCATTAACATCATCCTGTCTAACAAAGGTGGTAATTAAAACCAACTTCTACGACTGTTTCAGCACTTCCAATGTCATACGCGTTCACATGAAAATACATATAAACGTAACTATTTCATTCAAATCAGGGATTTATATAGTCCTGCTCAGAGGACGATATTCAGCTCCTAATTAGATTGAATTTTTTTAAATTTAAACTCGTAGTGAGAACTAATGTGATGTCGATGTAGAAGTGATTAAAGGATAACCCGAATACTGATGTGCCATGTCAGAAGTATGACGGAGGTTGTAATGTAAGGTGAGTGAGTGAGTGAGTGAGTCCTAATTCTTAAAAAACATATTTGTCTTGTTCTCCTATCCTCACATATCCAAGAGAGTATTCCTGGCGCGGAAGAGAATCTGTCAAACCACATGCATATCCCATTTAGGCGGAAGACTGACCAAATGCTGCAATATCTCAACAAAAGACTAATTTTCATCTTTGTGTGAATCTCTCAAAAATACAAAGGACAGCTTCTATGGTTGACTTTATAATCCGTTCACGTGTTGTCACTTATTTCTTAGATCAATAGCTGTGGACATGCCCACGTGGCCATGTGTCATTAAATGACACTCATAAATATCATTAATGGAACAGTGAGTGGGTGTTAGAGAAAAAGAATAATGGATGAATATATTATCATGACAAACATGCAACAGTTACACCAACACGGCTAATCCCTCTGTAAACACGCTGACACTGACACTTGAAATCCGTCACACATAAATCACGATTTGAAATCAATAACCTCGTATGTCAAAACTGACATTGGATGTCGTTATCAAAATCCCATGAAATCGACATCACATGTCCGCGACTGACAACGAGCTGTTATAAACAAGACCTGTAGTTGACATGCGCATTAAGCCACATGTTCTGCGCTTGCCATTTGCGCTATAGACAAGGTTCTGGCGACATGTACACAGACTCGTTTCAGATCTGACAGATGGTAGCTCTTTCATGTCAATTTCAGTTCCATCTTCACCGACCCTCATTAAGCACGAATCCGCTATAAAATTCTCGCGGCTTTTCAACTGAGAAGTCTTCAACTGTCGATGTGGGATTTTAGAGGGAGTAGCGACACAAAAACTACCGGCATCTAAAGACAATGTTGTTTGCACAGCCGCCCATAATGCTTAATGCAACTCCACCTGTATGTGAGGGTTGCGAGGGGTCCTCGTGGTTCTTAAAAATAACATTTATTCCAATATAACCAATTATAAGCCTTTATGATTACTTTAAAGTTTGAAGTGGTTCTTGTTTGGGTATTTTTTTCATTTGACAACAGAATTAAAATTTCTACATTTTGAAACTTTCTTCCTGATTTTTCAGGAAAACCTTGACTACATTACTAAACTGTAACCAAATTTTGCACGAAACAGCATTTTTTCAGAGCACATGTTTACGCTTGTCGATAGAGTCGTCATTGATGGTCGGTTTGTTAGGATGTGCTTTCAGACTTTCAAGCACTGGTTGACTTGGTCAAGGCACAAATATATTTACAACCAGCAACTGTTGAGAAAATAGCTGACATGAAAACTTTTGCGAGATATTGTGACAAACATGTACATAACTATGAAAAACACAATGCCATTCAGAAAGTGGTCAAATGTTACATGTTACTGAGAAAGTGTAATCCCAAAATATAACATCTGTTACATGTACATGTACAACACTGTAACAGATGTACCACTAAACCGTGCAACGCTCAACCAAGACAGCGATAGTGTCTTGAGACACTTGCATTATTTCTGTCGGCACATGATTTTGTTACATTCTGTGATCAGAGTGATGAGAATGTCTTGATATTTATTCTAAGTGGGGACAAAATGAACTGAAATTTTTGGACTTTTAGGTTTTTGAATCATGTAATCTTAAAACAATCTGTATGCGTTCATAAATGTAGGGTATGAATATGTTAAGACCCCTACTAGTAATATCTGTCTGTATCAGGTACATAAGGAAATGTACACTGCAACATCCTTGTTCATCCCAGCGTTGTGACAGACTGGTTATTTTGTATTTCGTGTTGTACATTGTGAGTACAGCTCTTAATGACAATGGAAGAAATAAAGTATTTCTATCTATCTCTTGTAATAGAAATTTGAGTTGGCCCAGTGGTTAAAGCGTTAACTTGTCACGTCCAGACTCGGGTTTGATTCCCAAATGAGCACAGCCTGTGAAGCAGATTTCAGGGTTCCATCGTCGTGAAAGTGTAAGAATATTTGCTAAAAGCGGCATAAAACCATACTCACTCACTCCATATTCGCAACAATCACCAGAACCAGACCCTTTTTCCACCACCCATGAAGACCCTCACTTGTAATGCTTTTGTATACAACTAAACATTGTAGTCCACATTAAGAAAGTTGACCAGGGATATAGCGATTGTATCACCACAAAGCCCGCACGGGGGATTGACGCGTGGTCTACGTTTACTATTTGCTTTTGCCTGCCGCCATTAATCCATCAGCAACTCTCGCGGTGGTCCCGCGAGACTTGCATTATTTGGACATGTCCTGCGTGTACGTTTGGCCCTTGTCCAAATAGCGGACTGATATTAAATAAAAAGGATGTCCTTTGATACAACACGGAGTTGATTTATGATGGGAAAATATCATAATTCCAGATACTGGCGGATAATTCCATGTCGCCGTTGTTATGAATGAGATGAATTTATAATTATTTGCCATTTGTCAAGGCTGACATATTTTCCTTAAGGGCTTGTACTTTGATGGGATTCTCGATAGCATGGGGTGCCCAGCGCCATCAAACAACTGGTGATCATGGTTCGTGGTTCGTGTTACAAATTGTTTGATTGTGGTAACGATAAGGTTGAATATCATAAGGTGATGAAAAAATGATTAATTTAATGTCCATGATGATGATGATGATGATTGTGGTGGTGATGAGAAAGTGATTGCATTTAATGTCCGTGATGATGATAATGATCATGATGATCGTGGTGGCGGTTTTGATGATGATGATGATGATGATGATGATGATGATGATGATACCATGAGAAAGTGATTACTTTTAATGCCCGTGATGATTATGATATTTTGCAAACAGTTTTTTAATAATTTTTCTCAATCAATCATGGCAATATATTTGAGATATATGAAAGATATTAGATAGATATTTTGAAAATACAACGCAATTCTATGACACAATAAAATGAGAGATGTAGTTTTTTCTCCTCTGCCTCAATGTAAAATATTCTTCCCACTCATCCTAATGATGGTACATGCAGTATGCCGTATGTTTCATAGCGCACGGACCCAGAATACTCTGTTCTTTTGTTGTTGGGAAGTTACTCCGAGTCCCTAAAGAGTCGTTAAAATATCATTTTTCCGTTAACAGTTTAAATATTAACCACTTCATGTTTAATAAGCAGAACTATGTTTTACATCCCCTGCGTCGAGAGTTTGTGTACAAGTGTTCCGAGTTCCCTAAAGTGTTGATCACGAAAATTCTGTTTGTTCCTAATACAAATATAATTACTTCACAGAGCGTATTGTTTATTTGATTTATTAAACATTAATATTGCCTTTATTCCAAAACTCTAACAGCTTGTTTCAAATTTTATGCTATATCACTATTAATAGATGTGTCTCAATGGTATTTGTATCATTGAACAGGTAATCATTCCCTGTTATCTCAGGATTATGAATATTCATAGGTTAATCACGCCTTACACTATAGGAGAC